AAAATTAAATTTCATTACGGTATTAGAAATGACAATCTTACTCGAATTTTTCACAAATAGCCACTAGCAACCACTAATTTAGCAACGTCATCAAAAGTATCTCCCCCAAAAAAGACAAATATTGACTATGCTCGAATAAAATCTCAATTTATTCAAGATCCACTTCTCAACATAAACAAACTGAACACTTCTTACTTTGATTCGGATAAAGCCGCTATTTTCCTTAAAAGATGTGAATTATATTTTTCTAATCAATTCTCAGTGTTTCATTTAAATATTCGTAGTATTACTAAAAACTTCGACGAACTAAAAGTCCTACTAGATAATCTTAACTTTAACTTTAGCTTAATTTGTTTAACGGAAAGCTGGATTTTAGATACAATATTTAATCAAAATTCTAAATTTATATTGCCCAACTACAAAGCCATTAGTTTTGAACGTAAGTCTTCAAAAACAGGCGGTGGTATATGTGTATATGTGCTTGATGAATTTACTTATCAAATTAGATATGACCTGTCGTTCTCTGAGCCGGATTTTGAATCTTTCACTTTAGAAATCTACAATAAGTCATCTAAAAATATTATTGTGACAACTACATACCGACCACCAAACGGATGTTTAAATAACTTTCAAAATCACTTAAGTGATTATCTTGAAACAGCATGCAAAAAAAATAAAGACCACTCATTTTTATTTCTTGGAGATTATAACGTCGACTATTTAAAGTATGGTGAAAATAATAAAGTACAACAATTTTACGATAGCTTTAACGAGTTTGGAATGATGCCTATAATAAATAAATCAACAAGAATAAAACAACACTCTTGTTCTGCAATCAACAATATTTTCACAAATACACTCTTCCATTCCACATTTAAATCAGGCATCATCAGAAGTGACATAACCGACCATTTTCCAGTCTTTGCAATTTTCAAAAAACCAAAAGATTTACAAAAAAAGGACTGGTACTTCAAAAAAAGAATCTTTAGAACCCGAGCAAAAAATATGTTTGAACTAGAGCTATCAACTGTAAATTGGAACTTTGTTTTTCTCGAAACATGTGCTAATAACAGCTACAGCCTTTTCTTAGATAAATTTTTCAATTTGTACGATAAGCATTTTCCTAATAAAATAATCCGTATTAAAACTAAAGGTCTTCTTAATCCTTGGTTCTCTAAAAGCCTTTTAAAGTCTTCGAAGCGAAAACAAAAGCGTCTTGAACGGGAGGTGAAGGGGTATCCTTCCCAACAATTACATATGTATTTGAGTTACCACATTTGTACATTTAGCATTTCAGTTATCAATTTTTGAAGTATAGTTGGCAAATGTCAAATATTCATGGACCTTTTTTGTTGTGTATCTTTAGTTGGCAAAAAGCATATACGACCCTCTCCCCCTCTCAATGAGAGACCTCTTCGGGACGGCCCTGACAACAACCACGTTGAATAATAGAAACAAAAAGCAGCATTATAGCTACAACTACGTCTGGTTTTTTTACGGTAAATTTTTATCATGGCCTCTAACCTATTTCCTCCCACCAAAAAAAATAATACCAAAACAAATAAATCATGAAAATGCCTTTTCAAAGCTTTTTTGCAAAAAATCTTTCTTTCTAAAAAGTTGTAAACCCCGACATTAAAGAAAAACAAAATTTTAGAGAAAAATAAATAAGGATACGATCCGCCCTTATCCAGGTAACAAATTTTACATGCATGTTCATCGGGAATACACAAATGCTATCAAGATAAAGTAAAATCAAAAAAAAAAAAAAAAAAAAAGGGATTCAAAAAAGTGGAGTTCTCCAGTTGGCTTTAAAAACAATTTTAAGATACTTAAAATTGATTTTAAAGCCAAGTACTTTTATTAAATTTACACAAATGCTGGAAGTTTAAAAGCTCTAGCTAGTCTGGAAGGTAGTGAAAAATCAATCTCAAGATTCCGGGACAACTGATAGCCGTTAAAGTTAAAGCACTACTTTAATTGAATAAGATTTTATTTTTCTAATCATTCTTGTGCGGGTTGAACACCAATGCAACAAAAATGAGGTTATTAGTGTGCCCACAACTTATAGTAGAAGATTGAACAGCTTTCTTTACCATCTTTTTTTAAATAGATTATATATGATAAAATGCAATAAAAGATTATATCTGATAAACACTCCTTTAATCATAGAAATTATATCAGATAGTTTAAAGAACTTATAATTTTTTGAAAACTGTTTTAGCAGTCGATGTTCTTGAGGATACCAAAAACGTAATACCTTATTACGTTTTTGGTATCCTCATATTACCTTAACAAAATACTTGATTGAAAAGGCAAATACAAAGAAAAAAACTGGAGAAAAAGCACGCTCTAACGAACAGTAACTTAGTCAAGATTTACACATGCATGAATTACCCATAGCTTAGAAGTTAAGCCCCTTCCCCCACTCCCTCCCGCCAAAGTTTCATTATGGCCACTAACCTTTTTTTCTGCTCAACAAAAAAAAAAAAGAAATACAAAGTCAATGATTATTTAGCAGCCCCTATTAGCACTCATCGACAGGGAGCCCGTCTCTACTACCCGAACGCTATATTTGCCCCTAATTATAATAGAACTACCCTTTTGATATACATGAAAAAAAATCCTTTACCGATGTCCCATTACAAACACTGCCCACGTATATGAGAGTATAACCGAAGTATTACCCAGATGAACCCTCAAACAGGCAATGGATTTAAATACGCTACTTATCTCAAACTTAATGTTAAATCAACATAAAATGACTGTTCTTTGAGAAAGTAAATAATATAACTTACATTTTACTTACTTACAAAGTAAAGTATAAAATTTCAAAGAAAAAATATACTTTTATTAGTAAAAGTAAAGAGGCCATCCATAAATTTTACACATTATATAACTTATGTAAAAAAAAAAAGAATTATTTTTAAATGTAAGTAAATTATATATATTTTTATATGAGTTATGTAAAGTAATTTACGTTTAAAAGTAATTCGCGGTTTTACATTAAAATAAGTAAAAGTGCCATCCCTAATTCTCGACTACAATTGCAAGCACTTGTAAAGAAGGACAAAAAGTCAAGTCTTGCTCAATAACCACAAAGCCATCAAGAAGTCATTAAAATACCAAAAGAAGAATATTTGAAAGAAAGAAGTATTATGTAGAAAAGCTTTGGAAAATTTTGTACATCATTTTGTCTCCGAGTAAAATTGTTTATGTACCTTGTGTTTTTTTTGTAATTTATTTTGTTGAAATTATTAAAATCTTTTTAGAAAATGTATGATGTCGAAAAGCAATTTTGATCTACTAACAAACTGCGCCCATACATAACAGAAGTCATTAGGATCAATTTTATGCCCCCGTTTGTCCATTATAATGAAGTAATGGAGAATTAAAACTTAGAACTTCCACACCTGTATCTTCAATAAAAATAACAATTACAGCTCACTAAAACACAAAAAATGAAAATGTCAAGCCATAGAAAGTCAGTGAAATTATTATACATATAATAACTATAGATATCAAACTTAAGAAGTAGCCAAATACACTCTATCACACTCTTGTAAACTAAACTACATAAGATTCCATATTTTTTAATATATCAAATCATTAATATTTAAAAATGACGACATTTCAAAAACTACACAAATTACTGAAATATTTTATATTTGGCATTAAGTTTTTTTCTTGTTTTAAGAATCATTAAAATTTCACAGTGCAAAAAACTTATTACACCTGCGTTATAATTTTGTTATTAAAGTGACGCTTTTATATAAAAAAGGGGGACGTTATGCATGATTAGATGACGCAAACATATATTTAAACAGATACAAAATAAATATTACAATTATATAATCTATAAAATGTTAGGCTATTCGTTGTTTCTGCTTTATCAATTTAAGAATAGCCGTGGCGCAGTGGTTACTGTTTTGGCTCAAAACAAAGAGCTCCGTGGTTCAATGCCGGCTTTAATAAAATGTTAAGCAATTTTACTTAAAGTATAAAGCCCATGAGAATTATTCGTGTGGTGTCCGCAGGAGGTGTATTGTTGTGATCATAAATAATTGTTCAAAAAAAATTATACAACCGATAATAATTTTCCAAGAGGAACTGTAGTGTTACAATCATTACAAAGTTAAGATATTCATCATAAAAATTTTTTTAACCCGATCATTTTTAAATCCAAAATGGCAACCTTACTCACTTGCCATTGAAATGTTTTTCTAGGTTGTATCCTTATTTCCGCTAAGTTTCATAACTGCACCATATAAGGAACAAAACCTGATAATTTTTTTTTACTGTAGGCTTTTGCTAAATATTGATTATTTTGGTTATTTGATATTTATTAATGCAACTATCAAAATGAACTAAGACTCATTCTATTACGGTGTATTTCATAATAATACAAAATCTACTTGAGTATTTAAAAACACCAAAATAAAAACAAAGATTTTATCTCCATATCCAAAAAAATGTAAAGAAAGTATTGAAAAATTGTTTTTAATTATAAGAACTTTTTTGTTAAACTTATTTACATTTGTTTAGCTAAACAGTTTTTACAAAAAACGGAAATAGAATACAAACAGTTTTTACGATTCAAAAAACGATTTCACTTTTTTGTTTGTTATACACATCTCAGTCTAATTAAAAATTATAACTCTTCTTCCTATACACGATCTAAGTAATTTGATTAACTTTTCCTTCTTTATCTATACTAATTTTTTATTAAAAAAAATCATTGTTAACTGTGGTTGGATTAGCCATTATCTTGAAATATTTTGAATCATTTAAGTAAAATAAAATGGCGTCCAACACAAGTTTAAAAATACGAAATAAATTTTTACGCCATTAATTATATAAACAATGAACATAGATACAAATTTTAATTTATATATATGTATATATATATATATATATATACATATATATATATATATATATATATATATATATAATTTCTTAATAATAATGAAACTTTTCTATTATGAAATGAAAGAAAATTAAAATCTATAAATATAGAAAAATAAAGTACAAAATAAAAACATTTATTCAAGTGATGGTTGATATTGTTCTATTCTTTCCAGAAGTTTTTGAGAATACCCAGGGGAATAGTATCTAAATATATAATTAAGGTAAAAAAATACATTTCAAAAACATAAAATATCAGTATTCTATCTGTATTTACCTGACAATTTCTTCAGGATAACAGTTATTTATTTCATTGACATACTCTTGCAAAGAAGAACCAGGCTCAACTTTTATTTCTTGAATCTTTTTTAGTCCACCACTCGTAACAAATAACTTTCTTGCCTTTGCATCATGTGGAAGTACTTTTGAAAATTGACTGACGACATATTTTAGAATATTAGAAGGAGCGTTGTGAAGCAGAGGTTCAAGTGCTGGTAGATGAATACACCTTTGTAAAATGTTCTTTAATGCTTTCTTGGACTTAAAAAACAGTATTTGCTTTTTTTATATAGAGAGAAAGTTCTATTTATTTAATATTTATTTATAATATATATATATATATATATATATATATATATATATATATATATATATAATTTATATTTTTGCATTATTTATGTATAGATATATGGAGAATTTTCTGCCTGCTAACACTGTCTACAATCCAAAAAAATAATGTCAAATACCAGTGGCGGACAGGGCCGGTATATATTTTCACGTCGTTAAAACATTAAAACAATAACGTAGGGTAAAACCACCGATTCCACGCCACTTAATTTTAAACTACGTCATATATTACCGCGAATGGCTTAGGTCTATAAAAAAATATTTCTAAACTCTTAAAAAATATAGATATAATTTATGACAAGTTTGGTAATTTTTGTCATTAAATTAACAAGTTTTAGCACAAATACAACAAGGCGGAAAAAACAACCAATATTTGCCGGAGATCAAAAAACATAGCCATTGCGAATTTATTCTTGGCCATTACGTTTTGCAAAGTAAAGTAGCGACAATTAATGATATATTAAGAATAACTAGATGTCTAACTGCCGTAAATCAGTATCAGAAAAAGTGAAGCAAAAATCGGCCATTATTGGGGGCAAAATCTTTACGCAATTTATCAAAACAAAGTTTAAGATTCGTTTAATTTAGTGTAATCAATAAAAATTCAATACACAGATATCTGAAAAGTTGATGTTATTTTAATTTAGAATTTAATAGTTATATAAAATATCTATTTTTTTTTAGTATTAAATTGTATTTGTTATATTAATTACAATTATAATTAAAGTTACACGGTACAGATATGAACCGTAAGTTCATAATTAGCTAGCAAGCTAGTTCGTATAGCTGCGATAATAAAGCCACGGAAAATGATGCACTGTGCTAACTATGTGAATTGCTGGTCTAGTTTTTTCTTGAAACTGTCAATAGTAGAGGCGTTGACAACATCTTCCAGCAGAGCATTCCAAGTATTTGCATTTGCAAGTCGAACGAGGCAGTTGCTATTAATTTCGCGATGAAAGCGTTTGCGATGACCATAGATGGCAGGAATGTATATTGGGTTAATATGCCAGTTGATTAATTCAGTTTTATTTTGAATTTTGAATTTTTGGATAAGGTCACCACGTTTTCTTCTGTCACTTAGTGAAGTTAGTCCAAGTATATCACATCTTGTCTTGTAATCAAGGTGCTTTAACTCATGAGGTATTTTTGTGGCACGATGTTGTATTTGTTCAACTTCAGTAATGTCTTTTTTAAGGTGAGGGCACCAGGTGGTGATAGCATATTCTAGATGTGTACGTACTTATGTTTTATAGAGGAATTTTCCAGACTTTTACATCTTTGCTAACAAAGGTGTGCTTCAACATACCTAAGATTTTGTTAGCAACGGTGAACACTTGACTTTTGTACTTTAGATCAACAGATAGTTGAACACCAAGGTCTTTTTCCAATTTTGTTGTTTCTAGCTGCATTCTTTTGACTCCGCTATTGAAGTCGTTTTCATTGATGAAGTAGATGTGAGGGACAGATTTGGATTGGTTGATGTACATAACTTTACATTTTTTGATGTTAAGCTGCATGAGTCATAATTGGGTCCAATTGACAATATTATCAATGTCAACTTGCAGACCAAGTTTGCTTTCTAAAGTGTTAACTACACTGAGAACTTTTGTTTCATCTGCATACATTTTGCATATATATATATAATAGAAGATGACACAAAAGTACTGCGTACTTTTGTGTCATCTTCTATTACCAACTCCTCATATTTAGTGATTTTTTGTATACAGACATTATGATTGATGATTTCATCACATTTTTCTAAGTCTTCCATTATGATGTGCATGTCAATTCTTGTTCTAGTTGTTGTATTATAAGTTTCTTGATAAATGAGCATACTTTTCACAGCTTCAGATAGTGTAGTTTTTGGCTTATATTCCATTTTTTTAGCTAAAGAAAAGGAACTAATAATTGGGTCAGAGGTATTCAAATACATCCAATGAGTTGGATTCTTCTGAATTTTTTCTGGCATAGTTTTCATGATCTCTAGAGCTTGCTTCTACATTTCTTCACCTAATGCAACAACTGGGAGAAGTGAATTTAAAATAATACTAGCATCATGTGCAAGGACTTTGTGAATTAAAGCAGAAACGTTATATCAAATACCATAAGTATCTGAGAAAATTTTGTAAGTTTTGTTTCAATAGTTTGCAAACTAAGTAAGATCAATAAAGTTATTGTAATAGATTGTAATTAGAATGTTGTAAAATCTTATTATCAAAATTTTATGTATACCTCAAAGTTTAGTTAATAATGTTGGATTTGAAAATGTCTTACAACAGATATTGCCTGTTGATTTCTGCTCCTTCAGATCTTGACATGTCCACATTGAGTTCAAATTCCTAATACATTTTTTTTTTTAATCAACTTTTTCCTCTCAATGAACTTATCCATGAACTTTTTAGTTACTCCCCAAGTTTTGAATTTAAGTCTATAAGATACATGTAGAAAGCATTCAAAAAATCGCACAAGAATGAAGGGGTGACATGCCATGAATTAAATTAGCTCTGGCTTCCATATATCAGTGAGTTTTTTTTCTTCAAAAGTATATCAACCTGGGTCTCAAAAGAATATATAAAAATAATGGTTTCAATTAAAAATAAATTGCTAATATAAAATTAGTTTTTTATATAAAATTAAACTTTGTACACAAAAAAATTATGAATTTTGAAATCACTATAAAATTCTGGTTCTTTTGAGACTCAGGTTGATATACTTTTGAAGAAAAAAACACTGATATATGTGAGCCAGTGTGTAATCAAAGGTCATGGTGGGTAACATTTTTCAAAAATTAAATAAAACCAATTACTTTTCAGTTACTTTCAAATCAAAGTTCATCTGTTTTTTATTCAGGAAACTGGAGATACCAAAAATTTACCAAAAAGTCAACACCATAATGAATATATACATGTTATATATTCATTTTGAATATATAACATGTATATATTCAAAATGAATATATAACATGTATTTATAATGAAATTATACATGTAAATATTTAAATTAAAATATATCAAATTTAAATTTTTTTAAACTTATAAACTGTAAATAGTTATTTACAGTTAATTTTAAATTAATATTTCACTTACTTTAATCTGCAAGTCTTCAGAAGACTCAGGTGATAAGTAGTAATTTAACAACTTTGGTAAAACATTGGCAATAGCTACTGATTTAGCATGCTCTGGAGTATGCCTTCCAATTTGACCTAAAGCCCAAGCTGCAGCAGCCTAAAATAAATTAAAACTTTAAAATAAGTTACATACTACTGCTTTTCAAGGTAATTGATAACATGATGTAATTAAGAAATTGTGGTCTTTAATTGAGAAACATAATATTTAATAAAGAAATCATAATATGTAATTGAGAACAAACGCAGTAATTGTGCAGTGGTAGTGGATGAAATAATTGCATCATGATAGTGGGAGTACAGTGCTTAACTTATTTTTCCAAGCAGCAACCTTTGTTTTTGAAGGTCCATGTTCTGGAGCTAAAGAGTTAGGGGTCTAATGAAATAAAGGTAGAAAAGAAAATTAGCAACCTTCTCAGCTATTGTGATCCTCTCAGCATTGGGGAGAAAAAATGATCATGGTAAAATAGATATATGTAAAAAATAAAAATGAAAAAGTGCTTTTTTTGCAGGAATAGAAACAATTCAATAAAAGTTTTAGCACAACAGTTTCTAACTTTCTTGGAGGAACAAAAAACTTCAATAAAAATTTCAGCACATTTGTCTTTAATTTTCTTGGAGGAACAAAAAACTTCAATAAAAGGCTTGGCAAAACAGTTATCTCTAAATTTTTTTTCAGAAATTGTTTTCATTTAAAAAAGTGCATTGCAAAAAACCTTTTATAATGTACAGAAATTAAAATAAAAAAAAAAATTAAATATGTTAAGCATCATCAATGAACATATTACAAATGGTTGTTAGAAAATAAAACAATTTACTTTGAGCAATTATAATTTACAATTGCGGTTATATCAACTACAAATGCTTTCATAATAAAAATTCTGAGAAGATCATTCAATGCACAGTCTTGGGTTGCTCTTCTGAGTGTTAGTTATACTTTACCAGTAACAAATAACCACAAGTTTTCATAAGGATTTACCCATATGAAAACATCCATTTTTATTAATATCTGAGGCAAGGAAACCGATAAAACAACTTAAAATATTTAAAAATAAACATAACACTTGAAATTTTAATCTTTATTGCAATTTTACTGAATTCAATTACAAAAATACTAATGTAGCTCTATTTATTTATTTTTTTATTATTATTTCTAATTTTTGAGACCGGTTTAGGTCTTAATAGAAAATATAAACTCACTTACAGATATAAAAAAATTCCGACCCACCTGTTTATTAGGATTCATTTCCCTCCCCTCTTTTCCCTTCACCCCCCATTAATTACATCTGGAAAAAAAATAGTAAACTTGATTTGTCTATTGATTGAAAGAGTTTAACAAGTTTATCATGCCAAATTTTAAGTACAAGTGACCAATATGTTTTACAATCATTTCTCCTCCTTTAGTTGAAACTTCCTCCACAACTCTAAACACAATTAAAAAAGATTATGCAAAATTAGAAACATCACCTCTTGAAATAGCAATAACACTTGCAACTATTGCAATATGTTGGCTTACTGGAAATCCCTCACCTATTGCTGTGAGAACTGTTTTCTGTGTTTTAAAATATTTTTAGGTAAAAAAAACAAAAAAACAGAGGTAGATATCTGCTTCATATATAGTCAGAATGTAATTACCATTCTGACTATGAATAACCTTTTAGGCTCATTTTTATAAACTAATAAATGCTAAATTAAATAAAATATTAAATGCTCCATTATACAAAACTTGTTGTAGCATGTATGAAAGTGATAAAATAATAAATGCAGAAAATGATAGTAAACAACTTTATTATATATTCATGTTTTTTTTAACAACAATTGTCTCAACCAACCAGGGCTGTGGAGTCGGAGTTGCGGAGTTGTGTCGGAGTTGCTAAACAAAATCGCGACTCTGACTTCAATTGTAAAACTTCTTTGTATTGCAGGTGCATGTACAAATCATTCAATTAATCTTATATTCATACTAAACCTCAAAGAACGTTTCATAAGTTTGTGAAAAAATATTTTCAACTTATAGCGTAATATTTTTTTTGAGAATTCAAAGAATTTTTCAAAAATTTTGCTTTGGAGTTGGAATCGGAGTTGAAGTCGGAGTTGTACTCAAAAAATTTCAATAACTGGAGTCAAAGTCATTAATTTTTTTTCACGACTCCACACCCCTGCAACCAACTGTTGGCTACTAGACAATAAAAAGCATAGTATATTTTACATATTACCCCCCCCCCCTCCTAATAAAAACCTAATAAAATATTTAAAAACATTGAATAAAAAAATTAGATTATGATTCTAAGCTTTTTCCACATTAAATTTATTTGCAAATATGTACATTTGACAATGTTTTTCATTTCTGTTTTAGGAAAGACCACAATCCAATTCATTATGATAATTATAACTAAATAATTCAAGACAACTTAAAAATAAAATTGAGCGTATAAATCTACATTTTTATAATTCAACTCCCCTTCATTAAAATTTCAATAAATTTTTGAAATTTAAGAACAGATTTTTAATAAAACTACCAAAAAAACAGAAAAAGCAAGTCAACAACAAATAAAGGAAGAATTTGATATGGTCAAAACTGTTTCAGTTTAATTACTATCAAGTTCCTCTCAGGTATTTAACACAAGGTGGGGTAGGAATAAAAGGATTGGTGGAGTAATAAATGGGGTGATATGAAAAAGAAATAAGTGGTGGTGGTGGTGGTGGTGATGGTGGTGGTGGTGGGGTCTTAACAAACAGGTGGGTGGGAATTTTTATTTTTATTTCTAAAAGTGAGTTCATATTTTCTAATTTTTAAGACCTAAACTGGTCTCAAAATTAGAAAATAATAACTGAAAATTCTTTTAGTTTTGAGATACAGTTTCTTTGTTCATAACAAACAAAATTTAATAAATGAGGGAGAGGGTCTTAATAAGTTCAGAATGGGTGGGAAAGTTTTCCGAAAATTAATAAATATCAACTTAGGTGTTTTAAGCACCATAGAGTATCACCTTTTTTTTCCTTTGAATTTTCTAATTCAAAAGAAAAAAAAGGCGTTATTTAATAATTCCTGTTTTATAAATAACAAATTTAAGTGAATTTGATCATGTTTTTTTTTTTTTGCTGTTTAAAATATGACCACTTTCCAATTCTTTGTAACAACTTTAACTAAACTATTTAGTACAACATCTGTAAAAAAAGCATTTTTATCAGCATTTTTGTAATTAAACTCGCCACAGTAAAATTGCAATAAAGGTTAAAATTTTAGGTGTTTATTTTTAAATATTTTAAGTTTTTTTATTGGATTCCTTGCCTCAAAATATGTAAGTGTACATATTATCAGCTTTCTGTTGTACATAGAACAGAAACATAGACCAAAAACATTTTTTAAAATGCCAGATTTTTATTACTTCGACCCAAAGTTAAAATAGCTATATATTTGAAACTGTTTGGAATTAATTGATGAAATTTTGGAGATGTTCAAAACTTATTAAAATCTTTGAGTGGGGGAAAAATCAACAAAATCTAAGACTTAGGTTTGCATGCCCTGGATGTTTTAACATGGAATTTCCAAGTATTGACAATAGTTCCGGAGAACACTTATGTATGCAATGTTTTCTAGATCACATGCTGTAAAAAAACTTCCCAAAAAGCTAAATAATATTTAATGCTATATTTTTTTATATCCATTATATTGTTTTACATCCATTATATACATTGTATGTAGATTTATTGTTTTACATCCATTATATACATTGTATGTAGATTTATTGTTTTACATCCATTATATACATTGTATGTAGATTTATTGTTTTACATCCATTATATACATTGTATGTAGATTTATTGTTTTACATCCATTATATACATTGTATGTAGATTTATTGTTTTACATCCATTATATACATTGTATGTAGATTTATTGTTTTACATCCATTATATACATTGTATGTAGATTTATTGTTTTACATCCATTATATACATTGTATGTAGATTTATTGTTTTACATCCATTATATACATTGTATGTAGATTTATTGTTTTACATCCATTATATACATTGTATGTAGATTTATTGTTTTACATCCATTATATACATTGTATGTAGATTTATTGTTTTACATCCATTATATACATTGTATGTAGATTTATTGTTTTACATCCATTATATACATTGTATGTAGATTTATTGTTTTACATCCATTATATACATTGTATGTAGATTTATTGTTTTACATCCATTATATACATTGTATGTAGATTTATTGTTTTACATCCATTATATACATTGTATGTAGATTTATTACATCCATTATATGCTTTTTTTTAACGTCAATAGAAAGTTAAACTTGAATTTTTTTTTTTTTAAGTTTTTTTTTTTTAAATCTTACCTTGAATCATAACTTGCTAAAAAGGAAAAATTAAACATATAAATAATATCATTATTATTATAACTTTTATCAATATCTAAACAAACTAAATTTAGAAAGTTAGATTAAATTAACATATTTATCAATACTTTATAATAAAAATTTGTCATATATCTATTTTGAATAGAGTAAAAGTACCACAAACCGAACAGTTTAAAAAAGTGGACACTTATTGGGAAAACTAAATACCTTCACTATAATTAAAGACATTTGCAAACTAAAAAAGTTTTTAATTTTTAGTGTGTGAAAAATTATAAAATATCAAAAAGAAAAGTTCAAACAAAATCTAATCTTAAAAATCAAACCTTTTTTTTGGAAATTAGGTTTTTAACATGAAAGATTTAAAAAGGCAATTTAAAAAGAAAGTAAGCTATTTTGTTGGAAATTTTCTGCTAATTTCAAAAATAGATTTAGATTTTCAAAATTTTATGTTGCTAAAAAGTTATAACAGAAACAAGATTTTTTTTAGTTTTTACCTTTAACTGGACACTATAAATCCCCCTTTTAATCAGTTAAAATTAATTGGTTAATCTAACAGACCCATTTAAAAGTAAAATATAATGACCACTAATCAAAATATTAGTGGCCAACATATTTTACTTTTGGATGGCCACATGTATCATTAAGCATAGCCTTAAAATGTAAAGAAAACATATAACACTAATTTGCATTCCAGCCCATTTATCTCACACTCTGCAACCTTATGATGTTAGTGTATTTTGCCATGTCAAAAATGTTTAACATGATTATTTAAGAAAATTTTATACTAAAAGTGGTTTTACCAATTTGTCCAAAAATTGTCAGCATTTGACGATTGTAAATGATTTAGTTAAAAGAGGAATCATTCTAATTAAAATTAATAATGACACACTGAAAAAGTTTTTTCTTCAATTAGTTGCAAGTTCACAAGTTGCAAACCATCAAAAAAAATTTCCAACTACATCAATGATATCAGTTATGTTGTAGATTATTCAATGTGGAGCAACTTGTTTAAAAACTGCTAAATTTTAAAATTAAATTCTTAATTATAATTTTTAGTCACAATATTTAAATACAATTTTAATTTAAATAATAACTTTAATCTTACAATTTAAATCATAAATTCTAATTATTTTATTTAATATAAACTAAAAAATATCAGATTGGTTAACCTCTAATTTATTTTCATAAAAATTTTGCACAGTTGTCATAATTATAAAAAGAAAAAAATAACTTTGTGGACAACTGAAATCTTTTACTTTGTCTGTTACTTTTTTGAAGGCAACTGAAATCTGTTAATCTGTTAAGCTCAATAGTTTATTATAAAAAACCATTAATTTATAGTCATTTTTGTGAACATAAACACAAGCTCGCACAGTTCAATGAGCATGGAAAATACAGAGAACTTCCATAAAATAAGAAATTTGTCCAACGTGTCATCTGTAGATAAACCAGAGAAAAGAGATGTAGAGAATATTTGTGAGAATAGTAATGGCGCCAACAAATACTCGAGTGTTAGAAACAGTGGTGTCACAACATATAGCAAAATCTGATCAACAAATTTGTAATACTCTAGTAGATTTAAGATTACATCTGCCTGGTCAACTCCCTTAGAGCTTTCAGCTTAAACTACTCCAAGGAGGATATCATTTATGTCATCGATATTTGGTGATACTAACAGAAATTCTCTCAACAGTAACAAAAATTATTCAAATTCTCCTCAACTTCTTTGATCTTTTTGCTGTGTGCAGGATTGCAGGACAAGTCTTTTTCCCTTTAAAGTTTCTATTATATCTTGATTTATCTAGTCTTTTAATAATCAAAATAACTTTATCACTTATGTAAATAAATATTTATTTTTATAGAGCCAGCTCCTTTTTCTTTTATTTTTTCTCCACTTCTGTATTTTTTATGTTATTTATTCACCACAACCAATCCTGTATGTTTTTAAGATATATTTTAGATTCTATGTCTACCTCTGTTGTAATATAAATTTTCCTATCCTCTTTCTTGTCTAAAAAAAACTGAATATCTTTATAACAACAAGTACAATGTTGAGCCTAACTCTAAATTACACATGTTTTGTATAATATGAGCAGCAATCTAATTATAATTTTTGTACTCATTTTATGCATGAAAATTGTTAAGTAAAGTTATTGTTTTTTTGTGCAGCCTCATAACATTTGGCGCAAGCATACCCAAACCTGTTTCAAAAATAAATATGCTTATAAAGACATGCATCAGACAAATAATATTGTAATTTAACTTAGACATAATAAATTAAAAAAAAAAAAAAAGATAAGAACAAATTTCCTTACTAACTAATCTCAAATTAAGGTAATTTTTTTCAAAAAAATTCAATTTTGTCAAGGTTTACAGAAAGAATTTTTTGACAACTGTTTTTTTTTCCTCGTTGATTTTTAACTCTCAAGGGACTTCATAGAATGGGAAAAATTTCAGAGGTATCCTGAGGAAAAAAAAAATTTGTTTCTGGGATACCCTAATATATATATATATATATATATATATATATATATATATATATATATATATATATATATATATATATATATATATATATATATATATATATATATATATATATATATATATATATTAGCGTATCCCAGAAACAAACTTTTTTTTCCTCAGGACTTTTCCCATTCTATGAAGTCCCTTGAGGATCCAATATCTAGAAAAAATGATCCCAAAGGACCCAATATTGAGAAAAAATGGAGTCAAGAGCAATCGAAAAAAAACTCAGTCGGAGAAAAGAAAAAATCTGAGTTTCGATAATATTTTGTTGCTAGTTGATAGTTAAACATTTTTCTTGTATGTTTTATTTTTATTTTATATATTTAGATTTATAATTTATTATAAATTTTGAAAAAATTTATATTTTTATATTTCTTAGTACTTGAACAATTTTTTATCGCAATTTTTTATCGAACAAGTTTTATCTAATAAATGGCTTTCTAACTTTCAGTTAAATGCCTATCCACAGTGCTCTGTAATAAAGACTTATGTGATAAGTTATCAAATTTTAAGTCATTAATTAAGTTAATTAATCTAATAGGTTTATAATTAAATATTATTATTACTTGTTATCACTGATAAAATTTTATTATACAATTATGCCACAACACACAGCGGGTTAAATATTAGACTTTTAATGGACAAAATTATACTGATCATACGATATATGACACTACTTGTACAAAAAAAATTATTATATGTTTAAAACTTACCTTGTTATTTTAAGACCGGTTTTTGTATATATATTATAAATAAAGATTTTGACTAAATGTTTTTTTTGTAAAGGTAAACTGTTGAATAGTTAAAATATATGAACTAATATCACATACACAAAATATTTTAAAAATTATTGTTTACTATATCTTTGTTTAAAAATTAAAAGATTCTTGCTTTTTTTGACAAACAAAAAGGTATTTTATTATACATTACATTTTATTATACCGCAATTGATTCTTGTGGATTTTTAAGATACTATTATTAAAAAGATACTATTATACTCAAAAAAGTTTTTGAATTAGTACAATGGAAAAGTATGAATATGTTTTATTATATAGTTTTGAATAAAATAAGTTTTTTTTTGAGGTTTTTTCCACTACCACCACCTGGCCCACTGTGCATTACCAATTGCTTTGCAATGTAAATAAGTATTGCTATTGAACAAAGAGAACACTTACATTTTGAAAACAACAAGAACTATTGTAAAAGCAGCGTAGAAATAAAATAAGAGTTTAATTATTTTACTGGTAAAAAATTTCCATTTTCTAAAAACTTCGTTGAAGTTTTGTTGAAGTTTCTCAATTTCCCTCGAACTCCGAAAAACCGAGAAAAATCCAATGAGACGGAGTTCCGAATGGATCCATTGATTTATATACATACATACATACATACATACATACATACATAAATATATATATATATATATATATATATATATATATATATATATAAAAATATATATATATATATATATATATATATATATATATATATATATATATATATATATATATATATATATATATATATATATATATATATATATATACACGTTAGCAATAGAATATTTCTTATAAACAATACAAATTCTTTTAAATGCCATTTTATATGTACTTTTTACTGTACTTACTCAAAGAAGTTCTAAAAAAAAAAAGTTCTATGAAGAAAATATTGTAAAACAAGCTGTTATATATATATATAAAAATATATATATATATATATATATATATATATATATATATATATATATATATATATATATGTATATATATATATATATGTGTATATATATATATATATATATATATATATATATATATATATATATATATATATATATATATATATGTGTATATATATATATATGTGTATATATATATATATATATATATATATATATATATATATATATATATGTGTATATATATATATATTTTTATATATATATATATATATATATATATATATATATATATATATATATATATATATATATATATATATATATATATAAACAAACCTTAATATGATCCTCTTTTTCCTCAGATAAGACAAGTGCCAACTGTATCACACCCTTAAATAGAAATTTTGCATTTTTAACTAAAATTATTAAAATCATACGCTAAAAGATAAATATAAAATTTAAAACTATCAAAATCATACACTAAAAAAAAACTACAAAACTACTTATGGTGCATACTTCAAAATTAACCCTAAATTAACTTTTCATATATAAAGAGTGTAAACTAGTCCTGTGGGGCCCTGTCAAATGCCGTATTCCCAAATCAAATTAGATTCATTTTTTTGTCAAATTTTTTTTTTTTTTTAAACATCTTTGCTATCAACAAGGCTGCAAGCAATCACTGATAAAGATTGGAAGTTACTGAAAGAGAAAAGATGAAGATTGTAGAGTAAGATAAGAATTGACAGACGACTTAAAAGATTGCAAATTTTATGAATAAGGAAAGCAAGATGAAGGAAGTGAATTCAAAAAAGCTGATATTCGAGGAAAAAAACTAAAGGTATAAGAGTTTTTGGAGCACTTAGGAACAGTAACCTTGTCTAAACGAGAAAGGACATAATTAGAAGATCCACCCCAGATATGGCAACAGTATTCCATACAAGGCCGGATATGCGATTTATAGAGATAGAGAATAGAATCCAGAGTAAGAAAGTGTCGAGCTCGATAAAGAGATGCAGCTTTAGCAGATGCTAATTTTGCAACAGAATTAATATATGGTTTCCAAGAAAGATCAAAAGTAAGAGTTAATCCTAGAAGATGAAGGGTAGAAGATGAAGGGTAGATGACTCAACAAGTACATTACTGTTCATAAATATAGGAAGATCTAAATTATTGCGATAACAATTGGCTTAAAAAAAAACTTAAAAAGATAAAACTAAATAGTTTTATCTGAATTAAAGTTCACCAGCCATTGTGAGCCCCATGCTGTAGCAAAAGTGAGATCCTTTTCAAGCTCAAATGCCCCCTCCAAGCAATCAGCGAGAGTTGGCTTCTTATCATGAAAAAAATAAATGGTAGTATCATCAGCGAACAATGCCACCTTAGATGTGAGAATATCTGGAAGATTGTTAATATAAATTAAAAAGAGTATAGGGCCAAGAATTGAACCTTGGGGAACCCCTGAGGTTACATAATAAGAAGAAGAGTGCTGTCCATCAAGGACAACTTTTATACTATGATTGGAAAGGAAGGATTCAATAATCTTAAAGATGTTTCCAGATACACCGTAAGTTGATAGCTTATGGAGAAGACCAGCATGCCAAACTTTATCAAACGCTTTAGAAATGTTGAGAGCGATGGCCTTAACCTCTTCACCTTTATCTAATGCACGATAAAACCTATCGCTTATTACTATTAGCAAATCAGCTGTAGAACAAGAAGATCAAAATCCATATTGATTATCAGAAAATAAGTTATTAGATTAAAGATGAGAGATTAAGCGTTTGTTAATTAAAGATTCAAAAACCTTGCTTATGATAGGAAGAAGACTAATGGGACAGTAGTTCAACAAATTGGATCGTTCTCCAGAATTTTTAAAAAAAGGGATAACAGATGCTGCTTTCCAGCAGGCTGGAAAACAAGACTCTGATAAGCCTTGTTGAATAGATAGGTAAGCACTTGTTGAATAGAAAAATAATATAAAAAATTAAAATTTATTGTTTTAAACTTGAAATAAAATTCCTGCTATTGGTATAACTATGCACTTGTATAACTGCGAAAACATCTCATGGAACACTTTTTGAGAATTGGGATTTTCCGAAAATCCCTAAAATTGTTGGAAAAAAAATTCATTTCTCAAAATTTGCAAATAATTTTTTGTAATGCGTTCCAACAACAACAAATATTATTAAAAAAAAGTTAGCAAGAAGTGAAGTACAATTTAAAAAATTACAAATTTGTTTGGTTTAACACCCACAAATGCTATTTGTTAAATGTTTCGCCCTTTTTGGCTGAAAAGTTAAATAAATGTTTTTTGATTATAAACAAACTGGTTCTAGAAATTTATTTAATATATAAAATAGATTTCTTTACTTTACTGGTTGTTTATATTTAAAACGTAAATTAAATATGTATATTAAAACGTAAATTAAATACCTTTAAGATAATAATAAGAATGTTTTTTTTATCACAATAAACTGGTACTAGAAATTTAAAAAAACAAGAAAACTAGATTCACCACTTGCTTGAATTTAAAAACAAATTTTAATGTTTTAATAAACCATAGTCATAATAACATTTTATGACTATCCATGAAAAAATAATTATTGGCATTCTTTGTTGCCGTGATAACGTGCAATTGCTTGCAATCTTTTGTAATTCTTTTTTAATTAAATGACTTTTGTTGTTGTTTTTGTTGAGACTTTGTAATTGTAACTTTATTTCACTATGCGATTTATGTGTAAAGAAATTTAATATTAATTATAAAATTGAACTCGCAATAAATTAGAAATATGAAAATTACCAGCTTGTGTTTACTATTTTTAAAACCTTTTTAATTTTTCTATTTTTAACATTTCTTTTGATGACACAATTTATTACATAATGGATGGTGTAAGGGTTTGTCAATAAAGGATGTCAAACAGAATTTGAATAATAATTAGAAGTAGAAGATCATTAGCAGAAATTTTCATTGAACATAAGAGTATTCAAAAGAATACTCTTAACATGAAAGCGGCAACGATATATTAAGATTAAAAGTAAATCAAATATATTATTCCTAATAATTATTTAATACACACTGATTATTTTATAATACAAAAATATATAATTCTGAATATATCTTTGGAAATCGGAGCTTAATTTGCCTTGTCGTTGTGAAACCACTTTTAATTTTGTGTTGATTTCATATTCATCTTCAACAAATGTTACAGACGGTATTTTGTTTTATTTTTGGTGCTATCCAATCAATGTATGCAGCACTAAAGTGGTGAAGAAGAAAGAATATAAGAAAAGGACCCCACACATTTCCCGTACACATTTTAATCTCAGTGGAGGAGAGAGGGGTAAGGGGAATATTTGGGAAATATTGTGACAAATTTCAAATTTTGTTAAAATGCTGTATCAAATTTATTTCTAGTTAACACCCTGATATAAGTACTGCAACCATAGTAATATTTGGGAAGCAAAAATTCTTATTATTCTCTGTAAAAATGTTAAACACAAATTTTTAATTTAATTATAATCTTTATCGTCAATTAAGAATCTAAAGGTTTGTAATCCATGTTATTTTAATAAAAAATATTAATTTTTTTTTTTTTACTGTTTACATAATTGACTGATAAATAGGAAAAACATGTGAGGAGTGTTGCATATATGATAAGTAAAAATTTAGATAATTTTACTAATTTAAGATATAATAATAAGAAATTTAGAAGGTTGTTTTTACTAATGTTATATATATGTGTGTGTGCGTGTGTGTGTCTAAATTATGTTAGTATATTCTAAGAATAAAGTGCTTGATGCTTTAAACTAAAATTATCCAAACTCTAAAGAATTCTTTTGCAATTAATTTTATGAAAAAATAATGTTGCTAATGTAACTTCCTGGTTTCAAAATAACTGCAATTATAAAATGATAAAATAGATAAAAAATGAGCAGATAAAAAGAAATTCTTAAACTATAGTATGGCCTGCTGATATCTAACCTATGGCCTGCTGATATCTAACCTCAAGCGTTCTACCAAAACAAGATCCTATTACAACCTTAAAGTCTTTCAAACATTGAACAATTGGAACAAGATCAGTAAACTTAGATAAAGCAACAATTTCTAACTTATCAACACACTTGAATATATGGTTTGAGTTATTTCTCTCCCAACCTCTACCTTGATAACCTTTCTGTAGAACACAGCTATTTTTAAAAAATTATCAAATCAAGGCCAAAAATCCATCAATAAACATCATAGTGTAGTTACAATTCCTATCAAGATATGTAATTCAGGGGAGGTACTAAATTTTGGATTAACAAATCTGGATCTTTATTAAGGTAGACAATTTTTGGAAATATCAAATTCATAAAATGTTTTATATTGGATTTCCTTGAATAATTTTTGACTTTTTTTCCTTGAACATTTTTATTTTTGTATCTTTGGTACCAATAGCCAAGGTTTCCAAGTATATGTAATTTACCACTCACTTCACTTGAGTCTCCTCAACTCCAAAGACAAGCTTTTTTTCCTGCATGACTTGAAACCTTATGAATTAACATTTTGTAAACTAAGGTTTTCTAAAATTATTCTCAAATTAAAGTTTGATTCTTGCACACCTTCAACTATGGAAAAGATTTGTAAAAGATTTGTAAAAGATTTTGAAAAGAATATATATATAAATTTTTTCTTTTTCTTTCTTTCTTTTTTTTTAACATCTTTGCTTCCAAGCAACCACTAATTAGTGTTGGAAGTTACTGGAAGAGAAAAGATGAAGATTGTAGAGCAAGATAACGATTGACAGACGACTTAAAAAATTGCAAATTATATGAATCAGAAAAGCAAGATAAAGGAAGCGAATTCCAAAGAGCTGATGTTCGAGGAAAAAAACTAAAGGTATAAGAGTTTTTGGAACACTTAGGAACAGTCACAGAAAAAGGAGACTTAATTGAATGACGAGTAACACGAGAATAAATTTTAGTAGATGGCACAACAGACGCTAGTGTCCATTATAGTATTTGCACAAAAGAGAAAGAGAAGCAACATTACGACGATGTGATAATGATTGAAGGTTGGCTGCAAGAGCAGGTCCAACTATGTTTACAATGCGTTTTTGCACCTTGTCTAAACGAGATATGGCAGATACGGCAACAGTATTCCATACAAGGCCGGATTTGAGATTTATAGAGATAGAGAATAGAATCCAGAGAATAGACTCTGATAAACATTTGTTGAATAGTTTTGAGAGGATAGATGACAGCTCTGGAGAACACTCCTGCAAGACTATAACAGGTATATTGTCCGAGCGACAAGCTGTAGAAGTGTCTAAGCAGGAAATAACTTTAGATACAAAGGCTGGAGTGATACGAATGTCAAGCAATGGATCAACCTGTTTGATGGCTATATCAGGAAAAACACAACTAGTGGAATCAAGAAATGATATTGATGACAAATTCTTAACAAAAAATTCAGCTTTGTCTTTAAGTGAGGTGATAAAGTCTGAACCATACAAATGAGGTGGAATTACAGACTTGCCCTATAATTTTTGTATATATATATATATATATATATATATAACTTTAGATACAAAGGTATATGTATATTATGAGGGACTATTGATGCATTTTTTAACAAAATTTTTGATCACATCTAACAATTTGGGACTTTCTCCTTCCTTCACAACTCTACTCCACCATTTAAGGACCTTTGACACTTTTAACAGGAACTAACTCTCTGAACCTACCAACTCCACAAAACTCAATAGACACAGATATGACTGGTTTTCTAATCCTGAACTTGTCAGGAACTTCATATTGAACTAATTTATCCAAGATTTTTTATTTACCTCCTGCTCTACATCCTTTTCAGTCAAGAACAAGTTATATCTCCACATACTGGCAGCAAATGCAGACCCAAGCTTAGGATATTTATCCATGATGCAAAGGGCACTTTTAAAAGCCAAAATATCATTTAGGGATGAGTTTGCAACCAAGTATGACTTTAGAAATCAGGATATAGCAGACAAATGCAAAGAAGGCTACTGTCCAATTTTTTTTTTTTTTTATTCATAAAATTTTTTTCATAATCTGATATAAGGTGATATAATTACTAGTAGTTGTAGTGCGCTTGCTTTGGTAGAGAAAAAATGCAAGTTTGATTTCCAGCACATCCCTGGTAGTGTTAAGGTCAAGTTTTTTTTCTACCCAGCAGGTTAGTTTATCAAGGCTAGTGTTTCAGAAATAAAGAGTTGAGGGATGGTTGTAACAATAATTTAAAAAACAAGTAGTATCCTCAGCTGTAGTAGCCCCTTTGGCCTTAGGGAAGTGAATACAGTTTAAAAAATTGTCTCCTGCAGAGAAGCCATAGAAGTGGAATGTTGAGGATGAAGCTAAGAAGAATAATAATATAATAGCTCCAGAGTCTACTTCAGTATTAAGCAGTGTTGTACCATAGCAAACAGCAGGTATTTGATCTACAAAAGCTTGTCCTAATATCTCAATCTTCTTTATCTTATTTATTAGAACTGAATCTATCAGTTAAATCTTTATTATCTGAAAAATCTAAACTAACTTCAGTTTCAGAAATAGGTTGATGCAGATTTATGTACTTATTATGGAGCTTCAGTATTTTATTCCTAACTGGATCCACTCATCATAAATTTTTAAAATCCTGCTTTTTTCCAACTATCTATTACAGCAGAAACAACACATACTTATTCAGGATTTCAGAAGCATAAAAATTGTAAAGATCAGTTACCTGTTCTTATGCTTCACAGGCTACTACCAATTTAGTAAATTATAACTTTATCATCATGGTTTCGTTGTTCATATATAATTTTTTTTTTTGCTCAATTGTGACTCATTTTTCAACACTTTTTTTATTTTATTTTATTTTTATAATGCATTTATAAAAAAACTGAAATTTATTTGTGAATTATGTCCCTTTATATATCAGGTTTCATTAAGCAGTCTGTACTGGACTGTCAAGATTGCCACCCAGCCTAAACACATTGGTTTCCCAAACCCTTTAGTGGTAAAGTGGCTTGAAATACAAGTAAATTTTATAATGATTGCTGAGCTCCCAGGTTTCTCAATTGGTTTTAAGAAATTTAGTTGAGATTTTCAGACAATCAAATAACAATTTGAAGACCTTTATAAAAAAAATTTTCTATACTCATTGTGACAAATTTTTTTTTAATGTTAATTCACCTCCCTAAGGTAGGGGAATTAACATAATGAGGAGGTTACTTAACTGTGGCTATAACCCACTCTCAACTCTATAACTCCAAAACACAAACCTTGACAAACAAGGCCACTGCATGGAGAAACAAGTCCAGAGCAGAACTTCTGATATACCACAGATGGCCAGTAAGTATATTCTTCACTGATATACCACAGATGGCCAGTAAGTTTATTGCAGGTTGCTTTGGAAATAGAAGAATTTTCCTTTTGATAGCAAACTAAAGTTTTTCTTTCTGATAGTAAAGTAAAGTTTTTGATAAATTTAGATCATCATTAGGTGTAGATGCAGCAAGAGAAGCTGGGAACCATGCTTTTATGTTGAAATACGCAACAAAAATATATTTGAATGCAATCATATATATATATATATATATATATATATATATATATATATATATATATATAGACGTATAGACATATATACATATATATATATATATATATATATATATATATATATTATATATATATATATATAGACGTATAGACATATATACATATATATATATATATACATATATATGTATACATATATATATACATATATATGTATATATATATATATATATATATATATATATATGTATATATGTCTATACGTCTATATATATATATATATATATATATACATATATATAAATATATATATATATATATATATATATATATATATATATATATATATATATATATATATATATATATATATATATATATATGGGCATTTCTGCAAGAAAGAGGAAGAAAAAAAAAAAAAAGAAAAAAAGTTATGAAAACACATACTAACCTCTATAACTCTTTTAACTATTTAAAAATACTTATAAGCAAAAAAGTTAAAAAATATAATTTTATCATACCATAGCATGGTTTTAATGTTGTAAGGGTTGTATAAACATGTTTTGACACTTATTTACAGTCTTGTTGTGTAGCATTCAGGGCTGTGGAGTCAGAGTGGCAGTCGCGGAGTTGCAACAATTTTACTGGAGTCGGAGTCGCTAAAAAATATTGTGATTCCGACTCCGATAGTAAAATTTCTTGGTATTGCACGTGCATGTACAAAACATTCAATTAACCTTATGTTCATACTAAACATCAAAGAATGTTTCATAAATTTGTCAAAAAAATTTCAATTTACCGGGCAATATTTTTTAAAAAATTAAAAAAATTTTTCAAAAATTTTGCTTTGGAGTTGGAGTCAGAGTTGGAGTTGTACTCAAAACTTTTTTTTTACGACTCCACACCCCTGTTAGCATTATATATCCAATCGTATATCCATAATTAAGAACTTTGATATCATAGTGCATTTCTTTAACATAATATACATGGTAGTTAATAATCATTTATACTTTTTTTCTAACATCATCGATTGCATCATTTTATTTGTTGTTTTTAAGCATTGGATTTTTTGTTACGACCGTCACAACAAAAAAAAACACAAAATTCCTTGTAAAACTTCAGGAAAAAATAATGTAACTTAGCATATAATAACATCAATATGTGCTGAATACACACACCAAGTGATTTGTTCAGAAATGGTAAAAAGTAAGCGTTACGAACATCACACTACGAAGAGTTAATTTTTGAAAAAAGTTGAAAACTTTAATGCTGTAACTTTTATGTATAGACTATATATATATATATATATATATATAGACATACATATAGATAGATATATGTGTGTGTATACACACACACATATATATAAAAAAAATTGCTTATATTAATAATAAAAAAATGCTAGTCAGAGTTTGTTACCGCAATCATAAGGCAAGTAGTAAAAAATTAATTTTTCTATGATTTGTATAGTAGAAGTTATAATTTATATTTGTATATAAAAAAGGGAAATACAATACTTAAAATAAGCAATAAAAAACAAAAGAAATATACTGCTACATTAGACTACTTATAAAAGTATATTTTACCTAAAATCCCTTCCCTGTGGAATTTTATTTTAATTTTTGCTAATTGTGGAGTTTTTTTGAAAAAAAAAGAAAAATATATTATTATTAATATTTTTATACATTTTTTATAATTTTTTATCTAAGTAAGATATTATGAACAAAAAATAAGTTTTCCAAGCATAGAAATGGAATTTACTCTTATAAGTAATTCTTTATATATGCCTTTGCTATTTAAGGCAAAAGAAAAAAAAAACCCCCTAAAAACAAACAAATAAAATAAACTTTCAATGTGATGTGTTCTTTTGTCTCAAAACCAGACACCATAGTGACTAAATGTCAATGGCTGCCAAAAAAACCATTTTATTTAACCATTTTATTTAATAATATTAAATAAAAGCTATTACAATTTTTTTTATATAATTTATAACTAAATAAGTTAAATTGTCTTCATCAGAAAACATTGTTAAGCTGACAACCATATAGTAGCATTTTATCTAAAAATCCTGATAAAAACAGTCAAATTAGTTGAAATTTTTTTATTCATTCAGGTCAGTCAGAGTGAATTGATAGTCTCAATTTTTTTATTTAGAAAAATACTAAGTGGCTTTTGTTTTTGTCTTCTTTATGATATTCATATGATGACTGCTATTATTAGATTATTTCTAGTATGACAATCAATTGATTACTAGTACACTACTACTTTACTAGATTACTACAAGTATAATTATAAAAAAATTTTATAATCAATTTACTGCTACTATTAAAAATCAGAATTATACAGCTTAGTCTAAATTTTAAATGAACAACAAAAATCATACATTTGATACAATAACTGCCATTGAGAGGTTTTCTGAATGAGCAGCAATGTAGCCTAAAGCCATGATACCAGGTAAACGAGTATTACCAGTTGTTTCAGCAATGTAATCAACAATTGCAGCAACTCCGCCGGCATTCACAATAAGTTGTGCTAACTAAAAAAAGCTTTTATTAAAATCTGGATATTTATTTAAAAAACATAAAATTTATATTAAAACACTTACTTCTGGGGTATGCTTTACAATTTCTCTGACTAACATCGCAATATTTTTTTTTACATATTCATCACTATCTTTCAAAGACAGAAGAACAAATGGGAAAATTTCAGCTTCAACAACCATCTCTGCTAAATCTACTGAATGTTTAGCAATTTGGCTTAAAGCAGAAAACACTTGTCTCTATAATAACAATTAAAACATGTATAGACTTCAATTTCAAAAATTAAAAAAAAATTAAGTGCATCTAATCAAATACCTTTAGTTTAGCATCTGGATTTAAGACCAACTGAGAAAGATGGGCAATGGCTCCAGCATCAACTACTGTTTGAGCAAGCTAATTAAGCATAATACAAAACAAATATTTTTTAATACTGTATGATAAATAAATAAAAGTATAGGAAAAAATAAAGAAATTTTATAAGCCTATTTAGCAAGTGATTTTTTTGTATAAGTAAATCAAATTAAAACACATTTACAAAATTTTATAAGTAATAAAATAGATTAGTGTTTTAAAAAATAAACTTATATATATATATATATATATATATATATATATATATATATATATATATATATATATATATATATATATATATATATATATATATATATATATATAGAGAGAGAGAGAGAGAGAGAGAGAGAGAAAGAGAGAGAGAGAGAGACTAATAAAAATATAATTACTATTTTTTTTAAATATTTTTTACCTCAGGAGAATGTTTGCATATATCACTGAGTGCAGATGCACAAATCCTTTTTAAAGGCAATTCTGGTTCTTGTATACTTAATATCAGAAGTGGAACAGCTCCAGCATCAACAATTGATTGAGCTAATTCTAAAATTATAAAGTAAAACTTCAACAAGATGTAAGTATTGTAAATAAAAAGTTGTTATTTAACTCTTAAGAAACAGAAGACAAAAAATTACTTGGACAAAAAAACAAAAAATACCCATAGCTTCTTATATGCTTCTTTTTTATATAAAAATTATAGATAATACATAATCAAATAACTTATCATACAAATTATCATAAAAATTACTTGGACAAAAAAACAAAAAATACCCATAGCTTCTTATATGCTTCTTTTTTATATAAAAATTATAGATAATACATAATCAAATAACTTATCATACAAGCAGGAATATTAATAAAGTGAACAAATAATAATGACGATTAACAATGTTTTTTGTGAAAATAAAATACATTACGACGTTACTTTTTCAAATTGCTCTAAATCTGAAGAAAATCTAGAAAAACCTACAAATACATGTCCTAACTTTGCCTCTGCAATGATACAGGTTTCACATAGTGAAGATACAGGTTTGATACAATGATACAGGTTTCACATAGCTGAATGATCTAGTTTGTGACTAGGATTCTGAGGATTGGCATTTTTTCATAGACAGTTCTAAATGTAGTTTAAAATGTATATTATTAAACAATGGAAATTTTTATGGCTTTAACAGGTTATCTTTATGAACTTGTAATTGAAAAACTGAGAGCTGTTACTATTAAGTTATGATTCTTAAACCAAATTAGTTATTTTTGTGAACTTGTGAATTTTAAACCAAAGAAGCTGCTATTATGAAACTTGTGTATTAAATAACAGGAACTACTTTTATCTGACTTTCCTTTTTATAATTACTCTGTTAACAATTAAGTCAAATTTTGTATTTGTGAGTTTAGCAAAGTTGGCATAAAAACAGCTTTTCATTTTGGAAGATCTTTACTTAACCTGGTATGCCAAAATAAGTCGAAGCCATCGCCAAACAGTTGGTAGGAGTCTACAAACTTGAATATTCATGTGGTGCTTTTTATGTAGCTAAAACTAAAAGATAACAACACGAATAGTTGAACATCATAAAAATGTGACTAAAGCAAACTTGAAACCATCAAGAATTGTTGAGCACGCACAACATTTTGATTACACAAAACAAAAGGTACAATTCATTGGAGTAATCTTAAAACGCGTTGATCATCCCAAATAATTATACTAGAAAAATCTGTAAGGCTATTGAAACAGATAGGCTGCAATGTTGCTACCCAAAAAATAAGATTCTAAACCATGATAATGGCAACCTAGTGATGACTTGCCATTGGAAATCTTTTCTTGTTAAATATAAAAAAAAAATTATAATATTATGCAGCAATGACATCATTATTGTAAAAAAAAAAACAATTTTTGCAACATAATTTAGTTTGAAAATGACTCAAATTATATAAGCCAAAATATTACCCTTTTTATTAAATTTTTAATATTATGAAAATTTTAATAAATTAAATAAATAGTATGTCACCATAAATGATGTATATATATATATATATATATATATATATATATATATATATATATACACATACACACACACATATACATATATATATATATATATATATATATATATATATATATATATATATATATATATATATATATATATATATATATATATATATATATATATATATATATATATATATATATATATATATATATATATATGTATATGTATCAGGGTTGTGAAAAACCCAGGGTTTTTTAATAAAACCCAACCCAAATGGGTTTTTTTTGGTTTTATTGGGTTTTATAGGTTTTTTGGGTTTTTTTAAAAACCGATCAAAATACCAAATTTTTATAATCGTATGTGTACAATAATTTTTTTTTAATTTCATAAATTCACCTCCCTATTGCTCCAATGACCACTTCAGTCAAGGGAGCAACTCATTTTTTAAAATTGTTTTGTCTTTAACATTACAATTTTTACTAACAAACAACATTAACAATTGAATTTTTAAACAAAGACGCTGTGCGGAGTAATAGATTGAGCACAGTAATTTCAGCAGAGGTAATTTGAACCCCAACTTATCTGATTGCGAGACAAATGTTTTACCACTAGTCTATTAGCACATTATATCTATAGTGCAAAAAGGGACTCTATCAACTATAAATGATGTTAATTAATTGCACTAAATTAAAAACATGTTTAGATTATTTTTGACCAAAAAAAAATCACTATAAAAATTATGACAATTGAGTTGTTCAAAGTTAGTAAGACAATATAAATGTTGCAAACTAGTTTTTTATACTAACATGCTCAACATATTATTTCAAAAATTAAGTTAACAACATGTAATCAACAAGTTTGCAACATGATGTTGCAACCTTGTAAATTATTATCAATCAGGATGACTATAAAGACTTTTTAAACATTTTTGCATCATAGAAGAAAACTTTTAGCCTAATCACTAGATTTTTTTTAACAGAACATTATACTGTCCAGCTTCCTGGAAAAGTTATCGGCCTGATCAACATTATGCAGTAATTATCTTAATTTTCTAACTTTATATGATCATATTAGTATTTTTAAAATGGTAAGATTAGCTTCCATCGGTAAGCCAAGTTTTTAGGCTTCCATCATCAATCAACAATCTTCAAAAGAATGATTAGAAACAGGAAGTTCAGCTAATCTAACATGGATATTTAGAACTTAAATAATGTAACCAATATTTAAAATATTTCTTTATACAAAATAACTTAGCAATTATATCCAAATGTTTAAGATTAGAAAGTAATGATTAGCTAATTTGGGATGATATTGACACTTCATAATGTTTTTATTTTTTAGATTATGGGGAGATTTGTTTCGCAAATGGATTTGTTCCTAAGCTTTGTTTATTCTTGAAATATCTAAAATGAATTTGTATAATAATTTGTAATACAGTGTCTTCACCAACAGATTCTTTTTTTTTATTTGAAGATGTTTTACCAGCTCAGTTTTGCAACTGAATTAAAGTAACATAGTATATAGCTCTATTGCGTGTGTTTCTTCACCTTTAAGCAAACTTGGTACTGATGTTCATTTTCAACCCGCTATTCAAAGTGACTCTTGTTGATGATACATGTTCTAAACTTGTAGCTAATGCAAAATATTCAAAACCTGTAAAATGGACAGATGAGAATGAATATCATTTTTACCAACAAATTTTGTCCTTGTAAACTGCATACAAGTTTTCAACATGTTCTCTCATTGAATGAAACTTGCTTGTACATAACATAACTTTTTTTATGCTTTAAAGTTGTATGCACTTAATAAGGACAAGTCTTGTAAACTGTAGCATTTTTTTTTTGCCTGACAACTTCCCATTTCTAGACTGTTAATAAGGTTTAACAATTTTTATATACAGTATTTTGCTTGTGACTTTGTACTGAAATTTACAGTTTACAACATAAGCTTTAAAAAATAAAAGATCAAATACTAATATAAAATGACATATATAGAACGCTTGTTTGGAAATATAGACATTCGAGAGGAGAATAAAGATACTAAATAACTAGTAATGTTTTGTACTTTGAAATTTAGTTAATAAAATAATTTTTATTTCCTTTATAAGTATTTAATTAATTTAATGTTTTAATACATATATCAATAGTATTTATAATAACTTGCTATATGTATTTAAAAAATAATAAATAACCAACTTGCTACAAAAACAGATTGATTGGTTTTGGATATATTCTAAATACCATTTTGTATATAAATACAATGTTTGCAATAGTAATTACAGCATAAAAAGTTGCACTTGCTGATAAAAAAGCATTTATAAATGTTAAAATCAGAGTTACCAGTTGTAAAATTGGACATTTTAAAAAAACCCAAATATATTTTAGATTTTTTTTGGTTTTATTGAATTTTTTTAAGGTGGTTTTTTTTTGCCAACTCTGATATGTATATATATATATATATATATATATATATATATATATATATATATATATATATATATATATATATATATATATATATATATATATATATATATATATATATATATATGTATATATATATATATATGTATATATATATATATATCCTTATAGTGTAGTCGAAAGAGTCGTTTAATGTAAAAAAAGTCTCTTTCGACTACAATTTTAATTACCTCGACTCTTAAGCTGTATTTGATTGTCGTCGAAATGTCAAAGCAATTAAATTAATGCGGAAGTACATTAAATTTTATTGTTTTTTAAAAAACTTTTAAAAAACCGCAATAATAACGACTAGAAAGTTTTTTTTAATTTGTAGTGTTTTTGTTTTTGTTTTATTAAAAAACATTTTTAAAACATGCGTAAATGTTGCTACATCGACTATCTTATAGCCTGACTCGCAACGGAGTGCTGCTACATCGACTGACAAATAGCCTGACTCGCAACGGAGTGCTGCTACATCGACTGACAAATAGCCTGACTCGCAAGGGAGTGCTGCTACAACGACTGACAAATAGCCTGACTCGCAAGGGAGTGCTGCTACATTGACTGAGGGTTTGGTTTGGGCAGGCAGCCTATCATTTAAAAAAAAAAAAATTTAAGTTTTTAAACTTTTTCTAGTCTGGTTTATTAATGCGCTCTTTAAAACTACAGTTTATGGGAAACTCTTTTTAACTACCATGCAAAAGTATATATATATATATATATATATATATATATATATATATATATATATATATATATATATATATATATATATATATGCAAAAGTATATACATATATATACTTTTGCATATATATATATATATATATACTTTTATATATATATATATATATATATATATTATATATATATATATATATATATATATATATATATATATATATATATATATATATATATATAATAATAATAATAATAAAAGAGTTTGATTATTTGAAAAAATACAACTTTGTGATGGGACTTGAAGTTTCATGCCCTTCGGCAATCATCAGTCATATTTTATTCTTTTAAATCAAGAAAAAAACCGTTAAAAAATACAAAATACAAAAATTAACAGAAAAAACAATAACAAAGCAATAGAATGAGTTCTGACGTCAAAACAAATTTTTAATTAGAAAATTGTTTAATCAGCCGTGTCGAAATGGGCGAGAAGAAACTTGTTTCGATGCCTGCACTTGGATATCATTTCACTTTTTGTGTTAAGTAGATTTTTATTTTTGGAAAACAGAATTTGATATTTTTCATTTATACACAGTCCCGGGTGTTGGGAGAGGTAAGTTTTATAATGATCGTATGATAAGGAATCTAAAGTTACAAATAAAAGAATAAAATAAAAATTATACATTGGCAATTATTTAAAAAAAAATCAGCATAACCTCACCATTTTCATTCGAAACAGAAGATGCTAAAAAAAAAAAAAATGAGAGCAAATTAAAAAGGGTTGCCATTACATTAACAAACTTAGTTGCACAGTTTTATAATAAAAATGATTTCGGACTATACTGCAATGACAGCTTAGCAGTTTTTAAAAATATGAGTGGCCCCCAAATGGAAAAAATTAAAAAACATTTTGTTGAAATACTTAAAAAAAACGAACTCAATATATCAATACAATGCAACATGAAAGTTGTAAATTACCTTGATGTCACATTAAATCTAAATGACCATACTTTCCAACCATATTCTAAGCCTGGAAATTCCTTAAATTATATTCATACTGATTCAAACCACCCGCAAAATATTTTAAAACAGCTTCCGCATTCAATTGAGTTAAGATTGTCTGCAAATTCCTCAAGTGAAGAAATTTTCCAAAGATCTACTCCTACATACAATGACGCACTGTTAAGGTCCGGTTTTAATCATAAACTTTCATACCACCCTAATTTAAATTCACCTTATACAAAAAACCGTAAACGCAACATCATTTGGTTTAACCCACCTTACAGCAAAAATGTAAGCACTAACATAGGAAATAGCTTCTTAACCTTAGTCAACAAACACTTCCCAATAAATTACAAGTTCCACAAAATCTTCAACAGAAACACCATAAAAGTAAGCTATAGCTGTATGCCGAACATGAAATCTATCCTAAATGCACACAATCGATAAATTACGAACAACAAAAAAGATCCACCTAAAACCAATTGCAACTGCCTTAATAAAAGCACCTGCCCTCTATCAAACCAATGTTTAACAAAAAACATCGTATACCAAGCTAAAATAAGTTCAACTAATCCTACTACCACTCCTGTCAACAAACTATACATCGGTATAAGCGAAACACCATTCAAAATTAGATATGCCAACCATATAAAATCATTTAACATTCTAAAATACAAAAATGACACTGAACTATCAAAAGAATTTTGGAAACTGAAAGATGCAAATTTAAACCCAGTTATTAAATGGAAAATAATTAAGCAGTGCAATGCTTACAACCCAACCACGAAGTCTTGCAAACTGTGTATAAATGAAAACTGTGTATAAAAAAGGATTGCACATTACATTAACATTACATTAACAAACTCATTCTATTGCTTTGTTATTGTTTTTTCTGTTAATTTTTGTATTTTGTATTTTTTAACGGTTTTTTTCTTGATTTAAACGAATAAAATATGGCTGATGATTGCCGAAGGGCATGAAACTTCAAGTCCTATCACAAAGTTGTATTTTTTCAAATAATCAAACTCTTTTTTTATTATTATTATTGATCTATTTTGTAAACACTTACATTATATTGATCACTCTCAAATGAACAAGAGACTTTTGTATCTTAATTTAGTACAATAAAACAACAATATATATATATATATATATATATATATATATATATATATATATATATATATATATATATATATATATATATATATATATATATATATATATATATATATATATATATATATATATATATATATATATATATATATATATATATATATATATATATATATAAAGCAAACAACATAATTTTTTAATTATTATTTATATTAAGTCATTGCTTATATAAATTTTTCAAAGAATTTTAAAAATAACAAATCTACATACAAAAAATTAGGAAATATATATCTTTATTTTTCAAAAGTGCTTAGCTAAATTATTAAAATATGAATTATATTTGCTCCATAGCATAAATTTAATTATTTTAAAAACCTGCATTGTGTCGAGCTATATACCCCAAGGCCCAAGAAGCGGCTTCTTTAACATCTGGGTCAAATTCTTCAAGACAGATTACTAAAGGTTCTAGAGCCCCACAATCAACAACTGCCTTCATTAAAAAATGTATTAATAACTAATCAATTATTTAATAACTAATTTAGATAAAACTTTATTTAAAATTATAAAATATAAACTTAGTGATTAGTAAAGAGTACTATTTTTATGAACAAATATGCCTTTAAATACCTGTGCTAATTGAGGAGAATGTTTTGCAACAGCTCGTAAAACAAACGCTGCTGTTTTTTTGTAGAACCTCTAAAAATGTAAAAAAGCTATTTGCTATAAAGCAATTTTTAATGTTGTAACTATTCAATTCTACTTTTTATTACTAATATTATTTTTTAACAATAAATAATAGTTTTTTATAGTATAAAATAGGATATTATAAAATTTTATTGTAATTAAGCAATATATATTTAATGTAATTAAACAGTATTCAATTCCTTTGGTTTCATAACAGATATTTTGTAATATGAGTTGCTACATTTGATAGACATTTATTTTTTACATTTATTTTATTTGATACATACATTTGTTAGATATAAGACAATACTTTATAATGATAATTTTAATCTAGCTGTTGCACCAAAGCATCCTTGCTTTATTTGTCTCTCATCCCTTTTTTTTTTGATGAACTGCCTAATTCATCGAAAAAAAAATTTGCTAATTATGTCAAAAATTCTATTATTTAAATAAGCTAATTCAAAAAATGCAAAGATTCAAATATGATAATTGGACTTGTATGTGTATGAAAAAAAAATTTTAAATCTCTTCATATCCCAACACAGAAATTTCTTCATATTCCTGTACATTGATACTATTTATTTTTTTATTAAGTATATTTCTTTATTAAAGTAGACTTTTTTCTCTGAAAATAGTTTGAGTTTGCAAAGTAGGGTTTGCAAAGCTTGATTGTTTTTCATTCTATTAGTTTAATGGATAATAATTAGGTTTAATGGTTTCATATAAAATGTATAAAATTGTACAAAAAAACAATCCAATATAAGATTAAAATTTGAAGTTACTTAATACCTATATCTTATCAAATTTTTTAGCCAATGATAAATCATACAAGCTTCCAGACAGTTAGAATTTACTAACATGAACTCATTAGTTAATACTCTAATCTATTATGTGACATTACCATATATGTTTTTTTTTTTATAAGCATATGAAATTTTTGAAACAGGCTCGGGTATGCTAAAAGCTAAAAGTTAAAAGAGGCTCAAAAATATGCTTAAATTTAAGCATATTTATAATAAAATATGCTTATTTCAATACTTTATAAAAATGCGTGCGTTACTAAAGGTTATTGGTTACAAGAAAAATAAAAAGTCGACTTTAGTACAGTATAATAAAATATAAAAAATATATACTATATACAAATGTTATCAATGAAATAATAAAATAAACAAAATTTGAAATAAATGAAATAATAAAATAAGTAAAATTTGAATTTTTTAAATGGTTTATCGAGGCTCAGGAATATGCTTATATATGCTTTTTTTTTTTTTTTCAAATCTGAGCCTACATATACTTATAAATGTTATGCTTATAAAAAAAACATGAATATCATTTGTCTTTAAAAATTTGTTTTCTAAACACTAAATTTAGTTTTTTAAATAAATTTGTTTGTTTTAACTATTTTTCATTTGTGGTCAAACCTTATGTTGCCATTTTTCTTATTTTAATTAATATTATATTTGCATCTACTTATTAAGATTTATTATTGTTACTTTTTAGGTCGTTGGAATTTTGTATGAAATCGTTAGCATATAGTAAAGAATCCTGTTTCTGCCAAAACTGTTAAGTAAACTTTTTTATTATCAAGCTGTTTACAAAGACATTTAATTTTTTATTATCAAGCTGTTTACAAAGACATTTCATTTTTTTATTATCAAACTGTTTACAAAGACATTTCATTTTTTTTATTATCAAACTGTTTACAAAAACATTTCATTTTTTATTATCAAGCTAATAGCAAAGACATTTCATTTACAAAACAATTGAACAAAGAAACACATGACAGAAGTAATTTTGAGAGATGAAAGAATAGATGATTTAGATGATAATATCATGATTTTAGACTTGACTTGAGACTTGTTTAGAATTTTGAATGCCAATGTTTGGATTGGCATTTATTTCAATTGAACCTGGGTTAGCTGAGAGCATTTTCTCCAGTTCACGATAAACTGTTTTATCTTCAATGCAGTTATCATCTTCAATGAAGTTGCAGAAAATAATTTGTATAAACTAGTAGGAAAGGAAACTTTTTCCTTAATGATGGCTTTCAGTGATATGTCTTCTGTAAGATATATTTTTAGATAACCAAAACATTGCACAAGGGTGGATGCAACATTTTTTGGTTTTTGAGATAACTAGCTTTTAGACATCAAGCTCTAAAATAATAATAAAATTAATATATTTTATGCTTTGCAAATAATTGTAATAATTGGAGCCTGGGGACAAAAAAAAACCCTAAAATTTTTGTTCCACCCCTCCAGCCTCCTTTAATTTTTTTTTTTGTCTTCATTTCCTGTTACATCGTGCATTCGATAAAGGTGGAGAGGTTAAGGCCATTGCTCTTGATATTTCTAAAGTGTTTGATAAAGTTTGGCATGCTGGTTTTCTCCATAAGCTTTCTTCTTTCTACCATTTTTTCTTGTCATGATAAGAAGCCAACACTCTCTGATTGCTTGGAGTGGGCATCTGAGCTTAAAACTTATAATTTTTTTCTTTTTTTTTTTGTAACTTTAAATAAAGTCAGCCATTATGGTAGTCAAATAAGCTATTTATGGCAATGATATAATTGAATTACGGATATAACTTTCACTTTTCAACATGGCGTCAGACTTCAAATTATGTACTTGTGCAGTTTGCTTGATAAATAAAGGTATCAGATCAAAATCTTTAACACCTATAACACCTTCAGTGCGCGAAAAAAATTCAAGAATACATCTGGCCAAACTTCGATTCTGATCTTGAAATTTGTCCTTCTGTAGTTTGTTCCAACTGCAGAAGAAACTTATTTAGTCTAAACAAAGGGGAGACTGCATATCTTTCCAACTGGTTAGAGACTATATCAAAGGTACTTTAATGTGGATGAATTGCTACTTTTTGTGTTTGTGTGGTTGTCTATATATATTATAAGTATACACACACACTCATATATATATATATATATATATATATATATATATATATATATATATATATATATATATATATATATATATATATATATATATATATATATATATAAATTTATATATATATGTATGTATATATATATTTATGTATATATATTTATGTATATATATATATATATATATATATATATATATATATATATATATATATATATATATATATATATATATATATATATATATATAAAAAATAAAAATCATGTAGTTTTTATGAATAAATATATTAGCACTGAGTTAATTTATAAAGCACATTTGTATTTTAGATAAATAGAAATACTATTAGGAGAACCTCTTCACTGCAATGTATCCAGACAGATGTTGAGCCAGAATTGAATTTTTCAAGTGTGAATAAGAAAATCTGTGGGCTCTGCTATTTGAATCTTGGTATGTTAATACTATGATTTTATAATTTAAATAAGATTAATTGAAGTTTGATTCTCTTTATGTTACATTATAGTTTGATTCAATGTGTTATTGTTTTTTACGTAATTTCAAGCTACTGTTAAAATAGTTTTTTAATTTCTCACTACTACTTTTAGGTAGAGGAATTTCTCATGATTGTTGCAAAAGTAAAGCTGTTAACAATATAACTGATATTAGTGAATCGCTTGGATATAAAGGTGCAGAACAAGTAGCTTCTGGATTGTTAAAACGTAAAATGGAACGTGAAAACATTGTAAGTGGAGAGCAGTTTGTGTTGTCTACTGGTGGAAATCTTCTCTCTGTTACAGTTGGAGTAAATGAAAATAAGTCGAAAAGAAAGAAAGTAAATCAAGTTTCATTCCAAACTATTATGGAGTTATCGAATGTATTAGAACTCTCTAAGAACAAAACTAAAAAACTGTGTTCTACTTTACGCAGTAATCTAACTGGTGTAGAATCAAACATTAATATTAAAATGACTGAATTACAAGATACTCTAGAAACTTTATATGAATGTAAAACTGAAGAATTCCTTGACGGTGATGAAATAGTTGTTAGAGATATAGTTTATGTCAAGAATACAACTGAATTTATCAAATTTATAATTGATGAAAGAGGTATTGATACCCCTAATGCAATAGCAAGAATATCTAAAGATGGTGGTCAAAACTTCCTTAGAATTATTAATGTTTTTGATCCAAAAAATCATTATTCTTCATCTGAAATGTATGAAGATTCTAGTGTGAAACGTTGTTTTATCCTTGCGATTGTGGAGATGGTTTTAGAGGATAATGGCAATCTCCAAAAATTATTGGAACCTTTGAAACTCGAAGAAGTAGATTTCAGTTTAGCATTTGATTTAAAATGTGCAAACAGTGTTTTTGGACTTTCAAGTCATTCTGGCAAATATGCTTGTCTTTATTGTGAAGAAGAATGCTCCCTCAAAGCAGGGAAACTAAGAACATTGGGTTCCATAGACTTATGTTATGATCGATATGTATGTGAAGGAAAAAAAAGACTAAAAATGCAGGATTACAAAAATGTTATAAATCCTCGTTTAATATACTTAAAAGAAAATCAAGAAACAATTCTTGAACACATTGTTCCTCCTCCTGAGCTCCATATTATGATGGGAGTTGTGGATAAACTTTGTACTATGCTTTTATGCGTTTGGCCACCTTTTCAAAATTGGTTAAAAACACATTACATATTAATGAGAGGATACTATGGAGTAGGTTTAGATGGAAACAATGCTAATAAATTTATGTCCTTGTTAGATGTTTTGGAGAGGGATGTTACCTTAACTGCAACGATTGATTTTTTACCAATAATTAATTGTTTGCGTAAGTTTTCATTAGTAAAATCAGCAGTGTTTGGTTTAGAAATGGGTGAAGATATTTCTGCTAAAATCGAAGACTTTAAATGTTCTTTTTCAAGTCTCCAATTATATGCAAAAGATATTTTTGACTATGATTTGAAAGTTTCCTGGAAAATACATATTTTAGTGTGTCATATTCTTCCCTTTATAGAACACAATAATATTAGCTTAGGAAACTATGCAGAACAATGTGGTGAAGCTGTTCACCACAAATTAAAAAAAACTTGGGTGAACTATAAAAGAAC